GTCAAAAACCTGTGTTTTTAGGGTTATTAATGAAGTTTGTGTACTCAGACCAGTAATATTTGGGGTCACAAGTTTTTGCCATGGACACTTTGTGGGTCAGAAGACAAAAAGTTTGGGAACCACTGGTCTAGTGTGACAGGGCCTTAAGATTCTCAGTCTCCCTTCGAAACAAAGTAAGTCACAAACTTTATTATTTTTCCAGAAAAAAGTAGACAGAACGCTCATTATAAATAAAAAAGGCTTAACCAATGCAAAAAGTGTTTTAACTYGGTCAAATTTACAAATATTGAGCTTAACCTAGCATGATCCTCAACATACTTTTTGTCGTAACACATGTCACAAGATCACACAGTGTTGTATCAAAGTTTGACTAACGGTTAGAACTTTCTYATATCAAAATTATATTAGTTTAAAACTAYGGCATGAAAGGCTGCAGGTACTGTGTACTCTTTCAAGGAACATTAGGTCTTTATTTTCATAAAATGTTGGCATTTTCCTTTTGTTGCCCCCATCAACCTTTGCTAATGTAATATTTTGTCACCTGCCTATAGTTTCCTAACTCAAGTTTTTACGGGAAACAAAAAAAAGGTCATGCTTCAATTTTGGTTACCTTTTTTTGTGTTTCCTGGAAAACTTGAAACAACTCAGGCAAATATTTGAGAAAAGTGTCGATTTTGAAAACATGCCTAAMCTTCTTCTGTTTTGGAGTCTCCTGCAATCTCATTCCTCGAGTTCAATGAAAYACAAAAATATCACATTTATCACAGATGAACTCATTCGAAATGGTGTCAACCTTATGTTTCCTGTTACCAATGTTCCCCACTGCCTATATACAGRGGTTAGACAAWGAAACTGAAACAGCTGTCATTGTTGTGTGGGKGGTTTCATGGCTAAATTGGACCAKGGCCAGTCTTCATTAATTGCACATTGCACCAGTWRGAGCAGAGTGTGAAGGTTCAATTAGCAGGGTAAGAGTTTTGCTCAAAATATTGCAATGCACACAACATTATGGGTGACATACCAGAGTTCAAAAGAGRACAAATTGTTAGTGCACGTCTTGCTGGTGCATCTGTGACCAAGACAGCAAGTCTTTGTGATGCATCAAGAGCCACGGTATCCAGGGTAATGTCAGCATACCACCAAGAACCACATCCAACAGGATTAACTGTGGATGTAAGAGGAAGCTGTCTGAAAGGGATGTTATGGTCTAAAACCAGGTGTTTCAGTTTCATTGTCTAACCCCTGTATATTCCTCTGTACCTACTGTATATTCCCTGGTACCTTTGTTATGTGWTACCCATGTTCCCAAGTACTATAGCCCCTTCTCCACAGGTTTGCCTTTAAGCGGTTCTYGTCAATTCAACATCAGCCAAATGTGTCTCCGTTTCCAGTTTTAGGATCCACTTCAGAGGTGGTTCCAGGCAGGTCAAGCTGAGTATTGTGAGTCAGTAGWCTGCTGCTTATAGACTGACTGAGGCAAGGTAAACCTTGTAAACTTCATTTTATATATTTTAGGAGATGAGTCTAAAATGAGCAGGTACTCTGGTTACATACGCACTTGGGGAACATGTTATCATTGAAAATGACATTTGTGTTGTTGCTTTAATTGTTGCTGTGACTTTAAATACACACATAGAAAACCCCACAACACACACACACACGCACGCACGCACGCACGCACGCACACACACACACACACCGGAGTCACTTTCTCACATTTAGTGGACTTCACGGTCCTCCTTGCAGATCACATGACAAAATCCCCGCTGGTGCAGTGTAGTGAAGAGCGCCTGAGATTCATGTCAACATCAATCGCTCACTAATCACAATGAGCGCGCCGATGGCCCCGGCACATTCTGTCAGGAACATATGAGGCTCGGCTCACGTTACAAAGAGGGAGCACACAAAGGCAGCACTGACAGCCCCCATCCTTCATTCACTGCTGCCAATAAACCAGACACTGGAAACTCAGATACAGTTTCTGCACGCCATGATACACTTTATCGATCGGAAACGCCGTGAAGTTCATCAAACTTTATTGATTCCAACACATCTGGACGAGATTTGAACACACCGACCTGAAAACCTTAGCTCTCATAAAAAATAAAAAAGCTTTTCAGAAATTTGTTTATTTSAAAATAAGAGACTTTTGTGAGCAGCTTGATGACCTTAAGTTGGAGTTGTTGAAAATGATGAATAAGTTTGAAAAGGTTAACACAAAATAAATGGAATCTTTGGTTATTGGATTAATCTTTTWAAAAAAAGCTTTTATACTGTAATTTGTAGAGAAATCTTTTCAGACCACAAAGGTTAATTCAATCCCTCGCAGCTTTCAGAGGCCGGTGAAGATCTCTCTGCTTCTGACGTGCTTTTCGAACATCAAAGGGCGAGATAAACCCTCCTCTGATGGCTGAAGGAAAATATAAAGCGAGTTAAGTCAAAATCTGAAACTCTATTTGACAGCAGGGTCTTCAAAATAGAGTTAGGTTATGCTCTGGAAAGTAAATTTAGACTTAATGTGGAACGCTTCTGAGTAACTCACCATATGAGTACACGTGTAAGCATGTGTGTGTGTGCGTCTCTGTGTGTGTTGGCTGCTTCTGGAAGAAAGTTTAACCCCTTCAGTGGGTGAGACTGCACGAACAGCTAAAGGCTGGTTTATACTTCTTGTCGCACGTCTTTTACCACCCGCTGAGTGAAAAAAAGTTGCGCAACTTCCGTCTGCACTCCCGCTGCGATCCCCCGGTGACAGCTGTCCGATACATTGCCCCCCAGTCAGCACTCTGAGACGCGGAGGTTGCAGCTCGGCACGTGTGATTGGTTCAAAGTTTGTGGGCGTTTTTGTTTGGTGTATCACTCCGCTACCCGGTACTCGCTTCCAGAGGCCGGTTTTTGTTTGTAAACATGGATGGTTTCGAAGAGAAACTTGCCGAGGCGGTCCGGAGGTACAAACATCTGTATGACTTCTCTACTGCGGAGTACAAGTAATGCCAAATGGCAAAAAATTCATGGAGGGAGATTGAAGAAATGTTGCAAACAGAGGAGGCTGTCTGCCGCAAACGGTGGCAGACTCTCCGTGACCGGTTTGCAAAGACCAAACGGAGAATGCAGGTCCGGAGCAGGGATCCTGGCAGGACCAATCAAATTCCTCGTTTTTTCTTTTTTGCCTTTGTTTTTTTTTTTTTTTTTT